AAATCATTTGGTACTTGTCTTTCTCCACTTGCTTATTTCACTGAGCATAACACCCTCTAGCTCCATCCATGTTGTTGCAAATGGTAAGATTTGTTTTCTTCTTATGGCTGAATAATATTCCATTGTGTATATGTACCACGTCTTCATCCGTTCATCTACTGATGGACACTTAGGTTGCTTCCATTTCTTGGCTACTGTAAATAGTGTTGCGATAAACATAGGGGTGCATATGTCTTCTTGAAACTGGGCTCCTGCATTCTTAGGGTGAATTCCTAGGAGTGGAATTCCTGGGTCAAATGGTATTTCTATTTTTATTTTGGGGGGGAACCTCCATATTGCTTTCCACTGTTTATCATTTTTTGAAGGATAGATTTACTAGATATAGAATTCTTTGTTGGTACTTTTTCTTTCAGCATTCGAAGTATGTCATACCACTGTCTCATAGCTTCAATGGTTTCAATGAGAGATCAGCGGACAGTCCTACTGAGGATCCTTTGTATGTAAGGAATCCTTTCTGTTTTGCTGCTTTCAGTATTCTTTCAGCAGTTTGTGATCTGTCTAGGCATGAATCTCTTTTTTTCCTACTTGGTGTTTGTTGAGCTTCTTATATATGCAGATTAATATTCTTCATCAAATTTGGGGAGATTTTTGGCTATCTCTTCAAATATTCTTTCTTCCCCTATCTTTCCTTTCCTTTGTGGATTCTGTTATGCATGTATTGCTATTGTTGTGGTCCCACAGGTCTCTGAAGCTCTGTTCATTTTTTTTTCATTCTTTGTTGTTTCTGTCCCTAAGTCTGGATAATCTGAATTGATGTATTTTCAAGTTTACCCATTATTTGTTCTGCTTGTCTTAGTCTGTTTGAGCTTCTACAAAAAAAATATGACAGATTGGGTGGTTTATAAGCAACAGAAATTATTTCTTACTGTTCTGGAGACTGGAGTTCTGAGATCAGGGTGGCAGCAAGGTCAGATGAGCCTGTCTTCTGGGTTACAGACTTTTCATTATATCCCCACATGGAAAAAGGGACTAGGGATCTCTCTGGAGCCTTTTTTATAAGGCACTAATCCTATTCATGAGGGTTCCACCTTTATGACATAAGCACCTCCAGAGGCCCCACTTCTTATGCCATCACACTGGGCATTAGGATTTCAACATGAATTTGAGAGGTGGGGGGCACATACAGTCATACCATACCACTGCTCAGACTTGCTATTTCCTTCTGCTGAACCCCTCTAGTGAATTTTTCACATCAATTATTACATTTTTTCAACTCCAGTATTTCAATTTAGTGAGATATTATCATAATTTCCTTTTATTTTTTTAGACCTGCTTTTCTTTAGGTCTTTGAACATATTAATAATACTGGTTTAATGTCCTAATTTAGTAAGTAAAACTTGTTGGCTTCCTCAAGGAGGAAGTTTCCATTGATTGCTTTTTTTGCTGTTTATTGCCCCTGCTTTCTTGTTTCTTTGTGTGTTTGGTAGTATTTTCCTGACAACCTGGTATCTTGAGAGAGTGTGGCATCCCTGGGACTCAGGTTCTCCACCCCCAGTGTTTGCTGTTACGCTGCTGCTGTTTTGTGACTTTTCTGAACTAATTCAGTGAAGTTTGTATTCTTTGTCATTGTACGGTCCTTATAATCTCTGCTTGGTTAACATAGGGATTAGTCAATGAGTAGACATAGGTTCCTTTAAATACCTCAGACCAGTAGATCTCCCAGCATCTGACAGAAGGCTTCTGTGTGTGTTGGGTACACCCTCCATTCTTAGGCATGCAGTTTACAACTCTGCCTTACCTTCACTGCTTGGTTGCACGGAATCTCAAGGTAAGCCGGAAGTAAGAGCTGAGGGCCCCAAGTTTTTCCTGGGACTTACTTTTCATGGGAAAAGAAAACAATACCCAGTCTGTTCATTATAATTTGGGTTACATATGAAATGATTAACAGTAAAGTTTATGAACTATCATTGTCTCCCATATTAGCCATGTTTTATTAATAGCAGAACTAGCAAAGTGCTTCACAAACTTTCAGTTCAAAATAAAGAAGTGTAAACAGTTTGGCAAACATACATGTCTATATGGCAGAAAAACACCCCCAAAGAAAATCTGTTTCTTATGAAACTGAACAGGTCTTAGCTGAATTATGATCTAACTTCAGACCCGTTCTGACTAGCTAATCAGTAATTTTAGTCTACCAGCTAGGTCATAGTGTATAGTGACAATGTGTTTGAATTCTGGAGCCAACCTGCCTCATTTTGAATCTAGACTTTGCTTCTTCTGAAAACTTGGGCATCTAACCTCTTCTTGCCCCACTTGCCTTATCTGTAGCACCTTCCTTATTGTGAGGATGAAATCATTACATAAAAAGCTCTTAGATCAGTACCTGACAAATAATACACACTATACTTACATAAAAGTAAAGAGAATGGTTTGATGAATCCCCTTGAACCTGTTCCCTATCTTCAATAAATATCAACCCATGGATATCATGATAATAGATCATACTTCATTTGTAATTTTACCCTTTGTCGCTAATTATTTTGAAGCAAATAGAAATATAATTTCATCTCTAAATATTTCATTATATGTCTATAAGCTTTTAAAAATGTTAAGTATGTCACCATTATTATAGCTAAAAAATTAATAGTCTTGATATCATCACCTTTTGAGTTATTTGTCTTCCCAGTTAATTCATATGTTGGGATTAGTTAATATTGTCTCTTAAATCACTTTTAATCTAAAGGTTTCCCCTGCCCTCTACTTTTTCCCTTGTAATCATTTGCTGAAGAAACCAAGTCATTGTACTTTAGAGCTGTGTTGTCCAGTACAGTAGCCATTAGCCATATGTGGCTGTGGAGCACTTGAAATGTGAGTAGTACAAACTGAGATTTGCTGTAAATTAAAATACACATCATATTTCAAAGACTTACTACAAAAAATTAAGTATCATTAATAACTTTTACATTGATTGCATATTGAAATGATAATGTTTTGTATATATTAAGCTAAATAATATGTATTATTAAAATAAATTTCCCCTGTTTCTTTTTATTTTTAATGTGGCTACTAGAAAACTTTAAATTGCATGTTACTTGCATATATTTCCATTGGACAGCATTGATTTAGAATTTCACACAATATGGATTTTATTGATTCCTTCCCCATGGGGTTAGTTAACATGCTCCCCTGTCCCCTGTATTTCCTGTATATCATTAATTAGATTTACAGACTTGATCAGATTCAAATTTTGATTTTCATAAAAATGTTTTTGGCAGTAATATTTCATGTTTCTTGTATATACCACCAGAAGCTACATAATGCCTAGTTGAGGCTTCTTTGGTGTGTCAGCAGCTACTGATGATCCATTAATTCTTTAGAGTTTGCAAAATGATGGTGTTCTAATTCTTTTCTTCCTTTTCATGGATTAGCTGGAGTACTTCCATAAGGAGAAACTCCCTTCCTCAACTATTTGATCACACTTGATTACTCTACAGAGTATATGTATTTTGCATAGGAAAAGAAGAACAAAAGGTTGATTCTTTTTATTTACCAGTTTCTAGGCATCCTCCAAATATGATCAATGAGTATTTTTGTAGTATTGTTATGAAATCATGAATTTTTAAAGTGTATTTTTAAATCCATTGCATTTATTATCCTATTGATGCTCAGACTGTCCCATTATGGCCAGTAAGAACCCCCTCCAAGTTGTCTCTGTGTCTTAGACCTGATCCTAGTAGTCTCTGAGAGCTTCCCTGCTATCAGGGCCTCGCTCCTTTTAATGGGAAGTAGTGTTTACAGACCATAGTCTGGCTTACATAATGCAGCCTTATTGGTCATTATTTCTAAGGCCTTTCAGTGGAGGAAGCTAGGAAATGTGTTTTATTTTTTCCTTAAAAACAAAATAATTCCTGAGTTTATACTGGTAATTCTAAATCAAATTTGGACCTATGGAGTTTTTGCATAATCTCATCAGTATTACTTTTACAACTTTTTTCTCTCATGCCAAATTTATTAACTCTCAATGACATAAATGTGCTAATTTGCTTTATCTTATACTATACACAACAATTACAAAATAACATTTCTGTCACCAAAAACAATATGATTATTTACTGAAAACATGTTTTTATTTTTAAGAATTACTTTTCTCCTTGGGGTATAGATTACAAGTGATATATAGAAAAATTACTGTGTTTTAAAGTCACTCAAAATAGTTCCTGTCTGATAAATGTATATGCTACTAGCTAGTTTCATTTTACTCTTAATTTTTAGGGATTGCTTTGATAAAATTTGATTTTTATTTTATAATCATAAAGCATTTACATGGTTCAAAAGTCAATCTACAAAACAAATATTCAGTGGAATCTGGTTTCTATTCTAGTCCTCTCCACTCTATTTTCTCCTTTCTTCAATAGGTAAATAACCATAAAAATATCATTCTTGCATTTTTATACAAGGGCACATAAATATTTCATATCCTGACCAAAGTAGTTTCTCATAGTCCTGTGATTTTTATTTTTCTTTCTCAGGGACCTTATAATATTCTGTATCTATAATCCAAGTGATAAACTGTATCTTTTATTAACCCATATTCTATAGATTGGAACTAAAAAAGAGTGGGTATTGTAAATAAGCCAAGGTTTTAAGGGGAAAAAAATGATTTGTGTGGAAACTCTTAGCTGTTACCAAACATTCCGAAGACTTTCTAGGAAAGGAGGAAACCTTGTGTTTGATTCCTGATAATACAGAAGACCATTATTTGGAAGTTATAGAAGCCAGATTTGAATTAGTCTGAAAAAGAGTTCTGTTATCAGGTGAAACTCTGAAAGCACAATGGGCTCTTGCTTATAGGTTCAAGTTCTTCCATGAAGGATTGAACTGGTTGACTTCCATGGTCATTAGGTGATTCTGATTTCTGCAGTTCTCAGCTTTGATTGTGTCATTCTGCCCTAAAGGTCCAATTGTATAATCCCTAGGTGACCACACTGTATTTATTTTAGGATTCAGTGACATTTAAAGATGTGGCTATAGACTTCACATTAGAAGAGTGGAGGTTGATGGACCCTTCACAGAGGAACCTGCACAAGGATGTGATGCTAGAAAATTATAGGAATCTTGTCTCCCTGGGTAAGAATAAATGCTATGTTCATGTGTCTGCCCATTTGACCTGGTTTTCTGAAGACATAGAGCCTCTAAAGTGAATTTTTGGGTAGAGTTTAGGCATTAAAATCTCATAATCTTAGGAGTGTATTGTTGTGAATTATGCTGTTCCTTCCTCTTAACTAAATGGTCTACCCGTTAGAGGAAGAATATTTATTTCATTGGAAATTTTAGAGATTGTTAACCACCTTCAGACTTAGGACTAAGGTTTTTTCTGGTCACTTCCATAAATGGGAGTTACTGATGCCTCTAGAAAGGAAAAAATGTATTCATTTTCTTTCTAAACTCAGACTATTTCCATGATCTATTATTATCCTAGCAAATCTGGGATCATACTGTTGAGCTCCTTTGAGACTTGTAATTCTCTGTAACACCACTATTCAGTAGAATGTTCTTCTGTGATGGGAATGTTCTGTATTTGTGCTGTCCAATATGGCAGGGGCTAGCCACCTGTGACTGTTGAGCACCTGAAATCTGATTAGTCCAACTGAAGAACTGAATGTTAAATTTTGTGTGATTTTAATTTAAATAGCCACATTTTGGCTATTGACAACTGTATTGGACAGTGCATCTCTTGAACTTCCTATAGTAGCTACTCTGCACAGAAGATTAAGAACAGACTCAATTTGGCAATAGTTCTTGCTCATAGAGACAATCAAATCCTATCCATTTTTTTCTGGAACAGGGCTTGCAGTTTCCAAACCAGACATGATATCTCATTTGGAGAATGGAAAAGGACCATGGGTGGTAGTGAGGGAAATTTCAAGACCTCCCTATCCAGGTGAGTTAATAAGAACCAGTGTCTTGCCAGTGGGTTTCAGCTCCAGGCAAGTTCACTATGGATTCAGTGAGACTAAGAAATGACAATGGAACGTTCTTAGGGTAAAAGGATTTATACCTGGCTTTATTCCCCAGCAATAGGTCAAGTCCTAGAATCACATCTTCACCCAACAGTCCACAGGTCTGTAATCCTCCTCCGTGTCTGCCTCTGCCCAGAGCACTGGGCAGAACTCTTCATATAGTGACTCAGTCTTTAATAGCTTATTGCCTACAGGTGTGGAAGCAGTAGCCTAGCAGCAGGCCAATTACATCATCAAGTAGTTTAGGGTCAGGTGAGGATCCTGGCCATAGGAACTTCCATTTTTCCCACAACCAGGAAGATGGCATTTATTTCAGATGAATAGGTCTTGGATGGAGCAGAACATCTGAAATATCTTGAGGAGTATCTATGCTCAGAGCTATCTCCAAAGAAAAGATTTTCTCCATCTCTTTCTCTTTCCCTATCCCTCTCCCCCGCCAATCTGTCAGTCTCTCACTTTCTCTCTCTGTTTTCCTCTTCTTTTCTCTCTCCAGCTTTCTCTGTCCTCTATTTCTCTGTCCCATCCTATTCTACTTTCTTTTCTTGAGGACATTATTTTTATAATAATTCCTTCATTCAAACATGCATAAATATCCCCTTGAGTTCTATCCTCTCTAGTTATCCTTACATTTTTTTCACTTGTTTAACCATTAACTGATATCTCTTCCTTCATTGATATTCTTGAAAATGCTTTCTTAAGAATCACCACTGATTTCTTTGAAACGAATCCTATTTACTCATTATTTAACTTTCTTCACCTGTATACCTCCTGAAACTTTAGGGGAATCCTCTTTCTCTCCTCTAGTTTCTTACTCACTGCCTTAGACCTAGTACTGAACCCAGTTCACTGTGTACAGATGTCCAGTAAAAGTGCTTAAATAAATAAATACTGTATTTTGACTCTAAACTGATTCCTTGTTTGTATTTTCAAAGTCCATTGTGTTTATGTGCCACATCTTCTTTATCCATTCATCTGTTGATGAACACTTATGCTTCCATAATTGGCTGTTGTAAATAATGACACAATAAACATAAAGGTGCATGTATCTTGTCAAATGAGGGACTTTGTTTTCTTCGGGTGCATTCCTAGAAGTAAAATTACTGGGTCAAATGGTATTTCTATTTTTAGTTATTTAAGGAACCTCCATACTGCTTTCCATAGTGGCTACACCAATTTACATTCCCACCAACAGTGTAGGAGGCTTCCCATTTCTCCACATTCTTGCCAACACTTGTTAGTTCTTGTCTTAGATAGTGGCCATACTAACTGGTGTGAGGTGATATCTCACTGGGGTTTTGATTTGCATTTCCCTGATGATTAGCAATGTGAAGCATCTTTTCATGTGCCTGTTGGCCATCTGTGTTTCTTCTTTGGAAAAGTGTCTCTTCAGGTCCTCTGTCTATTTTTTAATTGGGTTATTGGTGTGGAGGCATATGAGTTCTTTATATATTTTGCATATTAACACCTTATCAGATAAATAATTTATGAATATATTCTCCCATACTGTAGGATGCCTTTTTGTTCCATTGATGGTGTCCTTTACTGTACAGAAGCTTTTTTGCTTTAATGTAGTCCCAATTCATTTTTCTATTTCCCTTGCATGTGTCCAGGAAAAAATTGCTCATGTTTATGTTCAGGAGATTTTTGCCTATGTTTTCTCCTAAGAGTTTTATGGTTTCATGTCTTTCATTCAGGTCTTTGATCCATTCCAACTTTACTTTTGTGTATGGAGTTAGAAAGTAATCCAGTTTCATTCTCTTACATATAGCTGTCCAATTTTGCCAACACCAGTTATTAAAGAAGCTGTCTTTTCCTCATTGTATACTCATGGCTCCTTTATCATATACTAATTGACTGTAATGTGTGGGTTTATACCTGGGCTTTCTATTCTGTTCCCTTGACCTATGGATCTGTTCTTGTGCCAATACCATACTGTTTTGATTACTGTAGCTTTGTAGTATAGCTTGAAGTCAGTGAGCATAATACCCTCATCTTTGTTCTTCTTTCTTAGGATTACTTTGGCTGTTCAGGGTCTTTTGTGGTTCCATATGAATTTTAAGATTATTTGCTCTAGTCCATTGAAAAATGCTGTCAGTATTTTGATAGGGATTGAATTGAATCTGTAATTGCTTTGGAAAGGATGGCCATTGTGACAATATTAATTCTTATCTGTAAGCATGGGATAGATTTCCATTTATTTGTGTCTTCTTTAATTTCTCTCATGAGTATCTTAGAGTTTTCAGAATACAGGTCTTTCACCTCCTTGGTTAGGTTTAGTCCAAGGTGTTTTATTCTTTTTTATGCAATTGTAATTGGAATTGTTTTCCTGATTTCTCTTCCTGCTAGTTCATTGTTAGTATATAGGAATGCAACATATTTCTGTATATTAATTTTGTATTTCGCAATTTCGCTGAATCCAGTTATTAGTCCTAGTGGT